TTGATGAAACTTTCACAGAATCGTATTGCCATTGTGACCTCCTATTTTACTTTTTGATCCGACACATATTTTGGTTTTCCCGGCCACAGGAAAACATGGACTTTTTCACCAGTTATAACCATATGGGAGGCGGGGGGGGGGGGTATCATTTAGTGAGCTCATCGCTCACAGTACCTCTAGTTTTAATCAGATTGACATAAAATACTGCAAATCCTGGGAACCATGACATCAAATTTTCAGGACATGTTTTCTTGTAATATTTTTAATGCTGTAAAACCGCGGCTTACGAATAAAATGTTTTCACGAAAACGGAAATGAAAATAATATATGTAGTTATTAAATCAATGTTATTATAAAAATAACTAGTACATGTAACTATTGAACTATATATATATGAATAGTAAAAATAGGCTACCTAGTCAATAAGTATTGTTAACAAATTGAAATTATTGAAATGATATTCATTAAGGAAAATATATATAGAAACATGTATAAAGAATATAAATGCAAACCATTCTATCTCAGATTATGTTCACTCTCGTAATTATCTGTATTTCATGCACCATGAAGACACACTAATTTTCTTTTTAAACAACTTTACATGAAACGTAATCGTAGTTTTGTGAAAATGATGTATGTTTTCAAAATAATCAATTCCCGAGGGGGAGTATTGAGTTGGGTAATGTAGAAAGTCCTTGTGAGAGGAATCGATTTTGTTTAAAAAAAATATTTTTGAATTCCGACACAATATGAAATAAACAATTTTTATACATTTAATATGAAGCAAGGATCTTGTATAATATGCTTATCATTGATATCAATATCGGTATGTGTAAGTTTACACAGAGCAGGCACATCTCAAAATCTGAATATGAAATATTAGATATTTAAAAATAAAACCATTTTTATTTAAATGTGTAAATAAATATAAGGATGATATGAGTTGATTTTTCTACCCTTTTGAAAAGAAAATTAAAGAGAAAAAGTTTCAGTTCGGTTTCAGCATGCGGAAACCATATGGAATCGAAATCAATAGTAAAAAGATCATATGCATACGAGTTGATTTTTCTACCCTTTTGAAAAAAAAATGAAAAAGTTTCAGTACGGTTTCAGCATGCGGAAACCATATGGAATCGAAATTAATAGTTTCCGGAAACTGAAACCTACTGAAACTAAAACGTATCGTTAAATTGACGTTTCATTAAATTTTACATTGGTTTCCGTTTTGCGGAAACTATTAGGAAACAAACCTAATGGTTTCAGTATACGGAAACCCTACTGAAACTTGCTGAAACTATTATATAGTTTCCGCATTGCGGAAACCATACAGGAAACTTCAACGCCAAGTTTCAGCAAGGTTTCCGCATAGTTTCAGTTTTGCGGAAACTAGACTTTTCATCCAGTGAAGGAAACATTCACCCATTCAAATAAATTATCCAACTTTGCTGTAATACAATAAGATGTAGCCCATTCAAATATCCAACTGTGACACAAAACAATAGCCTAATCGAACACCCCTTTTATTCATGGACTAGTGAGCATGGAACTACATGGTGCTGATTTCATTTCAACCTTTTTCATTGTATTGAACAGTCATGAAATCAGACGAAGAATATTTTAAAATCCAAAGTAAACTAGTGCTAATTGTAACGGGAACCGTTACAGATGTTCCCCAAACGCTCCCCAATTCCCTTTTGGTGCCATATTCCCTGTAAGCCTTATTAAATAAGACAACATCTGTGCATTTTTGACTTTAACAACGTTTTTCCAAAAGGATACCAATTATATTCAAATTTTAACATTGCACGCGTGCCCATGTGAGTGCACGTGCATAATGGTCATATAATTTTGTCTACACTTTCTATATATCAAAATATACTTTATATGAAAGCATTTAGTCCAAAAGTATTAAAAATCATTTATTCAAGTGTATTTTCAATTTCACTCGTTCCAAATGCACACACGTGCGTGCACGTGCATGATGACCAAACCTTCTTGTAGGAGGCCCTTATATCTATCTATGTTATAAATCCCATCCGTTTAGTTGAAAACCAAGGGAATTATAGCCATTTCAAGTTTCGGCCAATCAGATTGCAGCACACGTGCATCCACGTGATTTCAAGAATCTTTTTCTAAATCATATTGTAGAATATCCTAATGCATAACTATGTTTTAAATTTCAAAGCATTTCGTCAAAAATCAAAGGAGATATGGCCATTTAAAGTTTCAACCAATCAGATTGCAGCACACGTGCATGCGCGTGATTTCTTGAAATTTTTTGTATATCATATTGCAGGATATCCTAATGCATGACTATGTTTTAAATTTCAAAGCATTTCGTCAAAAAATAAAGGAGATATAGTCATTTAAAGTTTCAGCCAATCAGATTGCATCGCACGTGCATGCGCGTGATTTCATGAAATTTTTTCCATATTATATTGTAGGATAACATAATTCATGACAATGTTAAAAATTTCAAAGCATTTCGTCGGAAAACAAAAGAGATATTGAGATTTTTGTTTCAGCCAATCAGAGCGAAGCGCACGTGCATGCGCGTGAGTTCATGCTAATTTGACAGTGTCATATTATTAACACTTTTGATATATCCTTATGTAATGAGTTTCAAAGCATTTCATCAAAAAATGTAAAAGTTATAGCTATATAAAGTATATCAGTCAATTCACTCATTTCACGCGCACGCACGTGCAGGCGTATGCGCGCAAAATGACCTTCGTTCCGCACACCTACACTACACACCTATTAACCCTAAAAAGGTTTTAGCTCAGTTGGGTGAACAGTTTCTGAGAACACTCGCGGACAAAAAAGTACCGGAGAACAAATAAGAAAAAAAATAATAATAATAAGAAACAGAGTAAAAACAATATGTTCCCAAACTCCGTTTGGGGAACATAATTAGAGGGGTTTAGATAGTATTCTGAGAGCTGTTGAAAACTACAGAATGTTGATACAAGGATGAGAATCTGTCATTATAAATTATAAGATAATTGTTTGTTGAGGAAAAGTGTTGGATTCTTATGGAGTTCCATTCAAACAATACTTGTAGTAGTGCTTAAACAGAAAGAGATTGGGGATGTTATGCGAAACCTGCTTAAAAACATTCAATGTCAAGTTCTGCAATAAATACGGCGTCGAAAAATGTATTGGCTGTCAATTAATTCACTTGTTTGGGGAAGTAGGCCAGAAAAGTATGAAACAGAGATGAATCTCAAATAATCTGAAGGGATCTACTGATAACGGATACTAAAATAATATTCAGCAGTACTAAAGAAGTGATGTAGTTTAAGATTCAAGGTGAAAATGTATCTAAGTGTCAAAAAGTGGTGCGAGATCGAAAACATTGCTTAAAGAGTGCAAAATTCGGAGGAATTGTTATTTCTGTGAGCATTGCAAGTGCATTTGAAACACGATAAATGTGACAAATGCGATGTAATTACAGTTATATTTTTTTTATAGATAAATATATGGATTTTCATAAAACATTACTTAATCGGGAAAACAAAAAGGAGATAATTTTAAAAATTGGGTAAAACTTGTGATTTTCGCTATAGAAATCAACGGAAAATGTTTTTAAAACACCCCCCCCCCTTATCACAACAATTCCTTTTTACAGGAAATATTGAATGTTATTTCAAAAAATTATACCAAAGATTTTTGTGTGACACAAGGGGGGGGGGGGGGGGGGGAATGTGTTCATTGACAAAAAAAAAACACGATAAAAATGCTAATTTTCTTCCCAATTTCAAAGCGATTAAGAACTGAAACATTATATTTTATTGATATTAATATTTATGTTTCATTTATTTCCCTAAAACATAAGAAAAGATATAAGGTACATTTAATCACACCCAAAACTATTTTAAAATATGGTGATGCTTGAAAATTCCGATTTCAATGGAAAATATCGTCTACCCCCCTTTTTTCAAGAGCTGGAATTATGGATAATATACTGTTTAGCGCTGGTATTAAGACAATTCATCAATTACCATTGAACTGTTCTTTGTTTTACACAAAGATTTTATGGCCAAATAGCTATCTATATTAAATTAAATGGTTCTAAAATGTAGTCGGGAATCGAGAGCTAGCGTGCGTATTTCTTCCGTGTGCACTGGAAATTATTCTAATAGTGTGACAAATTTGGAGTATTTATTATTTTTCATGTGCATTGGAAATACATTTTAAAATTGCTTTTATCTTTTTTGTTCATTGTATCTTGTATTATGCAAATCAGTTGAATATTTAAATATCCAACTGATAGGCAGTTGGATATTTAAAATATCCACCTGATGGTCAGTTGGATCTTTTAACTATCCAACTAGCTAATATACATATGTAGTGCTGGTTGAATCGGTAATATATTCGAGGACTTACAACAATGGATGACGTCATAAAAGTTTTTTAATTAAACATTCAAGATTTTATTTTTATATTTAAAATCAACCAATATCATAAAATAGGGCTGGGTATTGGCCTGAGATTTCGTATTGCGATATTTTTAACTGTATTGCGATATGTATTGCAATATTTTCAATGTAATAAAAATGACATTTTCTTACTATACTTACTTTAATTCACATGCAAAAAGTACATAACTATGATAGGTAACCAACACAGAAAAAAATTTTGTTGATTTCGTTTAAGTTATACTCAGAATATACCCACAAAACAACTTCTGACTTACTGTTTGGCTTAATAACAAACATTCATAAGTCCAGTTTTATATTAATATACGTGTATTATGAAAAAATTCCTACATCTAAGCATATTGCCAATATATCGATATTACAAAATTGTATTGCGATACAATATTTTTGTCACTGTATTGCAATATATTGAAATATCGATATTATTGCCCAGCCCTATCATAAAATGAAAATTCTTTTTATAATATTCTTACCTAAGTAGCTTTTTTAATGGCCTGAGATAATATTACAGCCTTTTAATTTATATTCACATTTAAATAAGGATCTAAAGGAACTTACCTCTATCAAAGTAATCAATGATTTCCATTCCAGCAAATGTGCAACAGTTCTGTACAATGTCGTGTACTGAATAATGGTCTTGGATATCCTAAAAAGCACAAATATGCAATGATGACATTTTTCTAATAAATCAACAAAACAAGTATATTTAATGATTAAATAATAGCAGATTTTTACCCCAGCATTCTTTTCTGCACTGTCAGTGTCACTTTCATCCGATGATTCTGATGAACTGTCATCAATATCAGTTTCCTGATGAAAAAAAAAATTGTTGATCCTTGGTTCTTTCCAGTGCAATATTTTTCGTTATAGAAATTAATAAGCCGAATTAAAAAAAGTACCTTTAATATTCCAGAATTATGAATAATTGAGGAAGAAGATTGATGCATAAGCCAATGTGTGAGGCCGAAAATTTGTTACCCTAAAATCAGACAAATTTATAAACGCTCACTGCATAACTTCTGATCATATCAGTTTAAGTATAATTTTATTTAAAAGAAAAGAATACCCATAATGTTTAATCCTCATATAAGACAGTCCAGGAGGTCCATACAAATACGAGTTACTCGATCGGAAAGGTAAGCGAGTAACCAGTAACGTAAACTCGTCCAATTTGTCAGGACAATACTATTGTTTGTGTCCTCAGTTTTTTTTTTTATTCTTTTCTTAAAAGTATATTTATGTAGACAATGTAAGTTTTATAGCCATACCTTTTCGGCAACTTCTTTAGCATCTTCCGACTGCATTCCCTATAAAGATGTGAAGTATAAAGTAGTGTTGTACAAAATAAATCAAATGTACAAGTCTTGCAAAATTTAGGCCCAATACATTTATCCAGCCGATAAAATATTTGCCGAGGGTGAAATTTTTTTTATTTACCAGATATTGCTTTTTGTAAAACTGTTCATGAAATAGTAAATTAATAGATAATTTCAAGCGATGGCTCTCATATTACATACGTGCATGCCTTGTGAAATGGACATTTACCCTGTTGGTCTTTATCACACATTGTTTTTAGTTCTTAACAGCAAAATAACGCATTTTTAACTGTTCTGAATTTTACATCATTTAAAGGGCCATAATTGGTCGTTACCATACCTTGTCATTTTTGCTTGTAATCTGAATTCAAGTTCATTATAATAAAAGAATGTTTTTAGTTTTTGCGTGAGTTATTGGTATGCAAGTCTCACGGACTTGTCACGTTGGCTAGCGCGCTTCATGAAAAAATAGTCTTACATGCAAGTCTGTGCGACTTACACACCAATAATTCACACTTAACATATATGTAAAACATTCCTTATATTTACATTTTCAAAGCACCAAAAACATACTCAATGTGTGAACTTCTCGATCCCCTTACATTACATTGTTACTAACGTCTATGTAGCCACATTGTGACGTCACATTAACGCACGTTTTGATGCGTGAGTGTTCATGAAAATGGTATTCAATTCATTATCAATTTTACAGATAGAAACACGCAAATAGTGTCAATATTGTACAATGTAATGCTAGCTATTTTTTTTTATTCAAATTAATTTTATTCCATAAAAAGCATGCCGTTTCTGCGTACCTGAGAGATGTCGGCAGAATTCATTTCAATCGTGATGCCCTCTGTATTCATCTTTATCTGTAAACAGAAACATGTAGATACTTGTACATGTATTAACAAATGTTTTGGAGGAAAATGTTTTAAGTATAATGATTTATTGAGAAACAAGGAAGGAAAAACATAATGATGTCTAAACTTGTAATGATTTAAACTGTGCAAATCAGAACATACCGGAAATATGTCATCTTCGCTAGCCAAGGGTTAATGATACGCTAGTCTTCCAAAGAACCCTTAGCATGAGGTGAAGTCAAAAGAAGAGATTATTTTCGTCACGTGATCTCGAATCTACCAGGTACGGTACAGATTCCGTCCTAGACAAAAATAAAGACGCCTGTTTAAAAGAAATGTTTTTTAAAGAATAACGAAGAAGTAATAATTTAGTTATGTTTATTTATTATTTATAGTACAAATCTGAATCTTCAATGTAGATTCTTAATCACAGATTTAGAAGATATTGGATGACCCATTGCTATTCATAGAATTGCACGTTATCTTACGGATCGTTGTTTACTTGCGTTTTTTCATTTCCGAGATTAAAGATTCAAGATGGATCCCAAACGCAGATATCGTCATTTACCAAAAAAAAAAAAAAAAAAAAAAAAAAAAATTGCTGATTGGTCGACCGGGTGTACCGAATCCCAATCAGAGGCTCGAGAGAAAAAACCAACTTCTATCAAACACCGTATGCCAAGGGATTATGAGGAGAGCAGCGTACAGGAAACCCTTTTGCGAGGGAAGTAGGAAATATATATATATATATATATATATATATTTGAAAACAAATCGAAGACTTAATTTTCCTTGTTCTTTCTCTTCCTCCAACTTAATTATTTTGTTTCTAAAACAAATCATACTAGTATATGACTTAAGATAACTACACTATGCATAATCAAAATAACAAGTATTTAAAATGCATTATAAAGACCTTAACCGTAAAAAATATTTCCGACATTTAGTGTTTATCCTTTGTTCTTTAATTTAAACTTGCGATTAAAAGATTTTTCTAAACATTTGAAATTATTTCGATATTGATTTTATACATGTATGTAGGTATACTTACCAACACTTGTTTTCAAAAACAGTCTACAGCTAGATGCCTGGCATCTGGGGGGCAGGTCTAGATAATTTAAAATCATGAAATCCTCGTACCAGTATTTAAAGGTATGACTGGCGAGGTAAAGACAATTATTATCTCAAGTAAAACAGGTTTTAGTGAAATGCAAACTACCATTTACCCAGTCCGCATTTTTTTCCCGACGAATTGCACACGTAAAATAGGTCATTCGGGCTTTAACGTTAATTCTACACTTTAAAGTCAAGGTCCCATTTTTTTAAAATGGAATTTAAATCCGCAATCGTATTGAAGAATAGTACATTAATATTATTTTGGAAAAAATTAAGTCATTTTCAGTATTTCTTCACAACAATAATAATCAACAACACATAAATACAGCTCTTGTTTTCTTTTCCTTTTTTTTTTTTATTTCGAAATAATTTTATAATTTTAAAACAGGCTTGTATAGTTCCGGATTTTTAAAAAATAATGACGAAACAAATGACACTTCAGGGTACTTCAACGTAAATTATTCTTTTAAAAAGAAGATCAATAAATGTCTTTTGGTTTAAACGATAAAAATCGGGGGATCAGGTTGAGTTATGTGCCTACAAAACGATCGTTAAAAAATCGATTCATTTTTCAAACGTTTAATTTTTTGTTGAATTTATGTTATGCTTACTGCCATTTACATACAAATTTGAAGATAAAAAAAATGAATATAGTAAAAGCGACAATAATTTTAATTAACACAACAAAAGGGCATTAAACACTCAATTACCACAAAACTTATCTAACTTCAATGATACAACTTCATATTTTATAAAAGTGGGTCATCATCACATTTTTGGGAGAACGATGTATAAATCAAAACAATGGTAAAATGTTGATTTACACACTTGCAAAATTCTGGTATGAAGACCCATTCAACATATTAAACAAGAAGTTTGTGAGCCAAGGCTCAATAGTTAAACCACCGTTCTGATACAAATATACACTATCAAGTTTATATACAATCTCCCAAGCAGAGTTGTCGTTCGTGCCTTCCTTAGACACCTCTGCAATGGGCTGACGTCAATACTTTTGACATAAAGTATAAAACGTGATATTTGCAAGACTGTTTCAAAGGATGACTGCACTTAACGCCGGTTTTTGGGTCTTTTTCAATCTCTGTTGTCACATTTATTTTTGTTTTTATTTTTGCCTAAAGTCATTTATTATAGAGTTTGGTCTATTTCCAAATGAAAGGCAATGTCATAAACGTTATAGACTGCGTTGCAATAAAATAATTCGTTGTTTTCTTACCCCAACTCTCTGCAAATATCGGGAAATTGGACTTATCTGCCCTTGATTGGAGATAGGATTTATAAATATGCATAAGAGGCGGAGCTAATATTGTGAAGAGTGGTCTAAAATTAGAATAGTTACTGTATTTATATTTGGTGCATTCTCTCTCTCTCTCTGCATATGTTTGTCACTATCATTTTTTAAGTTTTCAAAAAAAGTATATAACTAGTAACAAATAACATCGACCGGTGGTAGAAGTAGCCATTGATAATCAACAGCAATGGCTGATGTCAACAATTCGCGTGTTCGAATATAAGTGCCGACTAGCTCAGTCGGTAATGCACAGAATCAATAATATTGAGGTCTGGGATCGACACCCGCTAACAACATTAAGACTTGCTTTATTTTTCCCATTTTATAAAAAAAAAAAAAAAAAAAAAAAAAAAAAAAAAACGTCACAATTACTTAAGTTTTTCTTAATTTCTTCTCCCCATAAATTAGCGTGCTGGGGATGGTATGATTTCATTTTTTATTTACTGGATCTAACTTTGGATGTTCATGATAAGCGATGGTTCAAAACATAATAAATAAATCTCTTTTTTCTTGTAGACTACGAACATGTAGAGACATATAATACACTCGAAAATATATTAAATATAGCAAAATGAAACGCTTTTGAGATAAATATAAGAATAATCTTATAGATATCCAAGAGAAAAAAGAATAGACCGTGGCTCGATGGGAATGGATTGAAACAGATATGGACAATCACTATCGCCCAGCATAATGCGTGTTTCCTTACACGTCACGTGATGGAATTTTAGTATTCACAGAGTATTCACAGAGTTACCTGTGTATATAAATCACGTGATTGATAATAATATTCAACAGGCAACAACGTGGTCAAAATGGCCTGTTTACTATAGAGAAAGTGAACACACGAAGAAACAGCTTTTTCTCTTTTTAACCATGAGCGCATGTTTGTCTATTGATCTCCTTTTAATATGAGGTAATATATATAAATATACAACTACCATAAAAAGGAGAACAATAGACAAACATGCGCTGACTATGTATTAAGCCTGTAAAAAGGTGGGCGTACTCATTATCCTATGGAGATTCCTAAATATGCGATGACCCGTCCCTATAAAAACGACTTCGAACTTCGTTAATACGAACTTTTAATTAACGTAATAACACAAAGTTGCAGTTAAGACATTGGCCATTTCTACCATAAAAAGAAATATGCCCATTTTTAAAATTAAATTTGTCGCAATTTCCGAGTTTCCTTAAGTGCAGTCATCCTTTAACTAGAAAACTGACCAGTCAGCAAGGGCCCCGCCATGAGGTAAAATTATAAGGGTGCATCTTATGGAATGATTAAAAAATATGAAGAATAAGAAACAGCAACTGTATTCTTAAAATTTCATAATAATTCCTGAATATCCAAAAGCCTTTAAATAATAATCTTGTATTTACATAAGGCAGCTAGTAAAGAAGAACTCAACACTGAATGCATATCTAAATAACAATGAAGCTTGTGTTATATAAAATGCCAGGCTTCAATGAATGCAAATACATATCATGAAGGCTTAACTTTAACTTCAAAACAAACAGCAGTTGCAGACAAAGGTTTTCATTAATCTTAAAGTGGCAGATAAAGATAAGCCTTCTAAATTTTCTGCAGCAGACTAGATAATTAATCCCAAGGGATTAATTGTACTTCTCTCTCATCATTTTCTTCTTAATTTATAATAACAACTTTTTCAGTAATAATAGAATGAGGTTTTTATCCGACTACCTTAAAAATTAAAAATATTCTTGAATTTTCATGAAGCAAAAAAAAATTAAATAAATAAAAAAATTAAAAAAGTATATCTTCTTTAATCTATTTCTTGTTTTCAGAATTCAATGAAATCAGAACTCATTGTGTAGGGTATTTCAACAAAAATAAAGTAAAAACATTTACACTTCAATTCATATTTCATGTGGTGTTCATAGCACTCCAAAGGGACTTAACTTCAAAACAAACTTCATTTGCAGACAGACAGAGGTGGTTATTAATCTCAATGTGACAGATAAAGTTAATGCTTTGGATTTTCTTCAGGAGGAAAGCTAATTAATCCTAAGGGACTCATTCATTGCAGAATTTAGTTTACAATGGGAACATTTTCAGAAGTTATCTCTCTTTGCCAATTCATTCTTATATAAAGTTAAGGAATCTACCCCACCACCTCAGCTCAAAACCAGAGGACATGGCGAAACAAACTTAGCATCAAAATATGTCTTTTTGCCTACTGAACTATCATACCAAATTTGAACTTAATGGGTCTACCATAAAAAAGTTATTAGGAAAAAACAGAAAATTTGTGGACGGAAGAATGACAGACGGGCAGACAGACAGAGTGATTACTATAGGACACCCGCAAATCCTTGCGGGGCCCTAATTACTAGTTCTGGATTATTTTAGTAACTATTATCGCAAAAGTCAGACATAAACAAATTAATTTAATTCTAATGAATTAAAACAAACGCACTGTTTCGTTAGTTTATTACTGTGATATAGACCTACGTGAGCCAACGACAGAGGTGAATGTACATGTATGAACAAACGGTAGAGAGTGGTCAATATACACAAGTTCAGTTACATGTACGCGCATATGCACAGATAAATAGAAAGTTGGCATCAGATTT